TTGCTCTGAAAATGTCAATTTAGATAATTTAGTGATCAAATAAAACTAAATGAAAGTGTAATATAAGAGTAAGGTAGTTTTGGTTAAATTTTGTAAGTGAAACTGAATCTCCTTAAATATTGACCATGAAAGTGCAGGATGAAATGTTGACTTATTGTGGTTCAGTTTTATGAATATGCATTATTCACTAGATATTTGTCTGTATTTTTTGGCCCAGAATTATGAGTAATCTTTCAAATTACCATCCTTTCCATTCTTTTGTTGACCACAAGGAAACCAGTCCTGGACAACAGGTTAAGAAATTATATTCTAACTGTATATTCCTGTCGCAAACACTTTATATCCATTTTCAGAAATCACATCAAAATTGTGGCATGTATAGGCACTTATCACTATTTAGAATTTTTTTAATTTTCATCCTTAATTGGCTTGTATATGCTCTTTGTGCATGTTTACTTTGCAGTAGTTTGCATTTGTGTTACCTTGTGTAAGTGGATGGGAATTGATTTCATGTTTTATAGCCAGAGTGAACAGAGAAACTTTGATTCTTATGGCAAATTTATAGGAAAATGTATCAGTCTCTTCCGACTTCTGCATTTTAAATTTTCTTACTATTATTTACACTTCAGATCCAAACACTAAGCTGACAAAATAGAGTAAGCCCCTTATCACATTTAAAGTATTTGTTAAAGGAGATTACACATGGAAATGAGATATAATTGTCTTATAGTAGTCATGCTAGTTAGTGTCTGTGAAACGACAAGTTTGTGTGCTTTTAGAGATTTATAGAGGTTATCTTAAGAGATTGGCCAGAGCCAGTAGATGCACTGAGATGTGTTTGGCATAGAAAGAGTCTTCTACATACACAGAAACATCCGACTTTCTTGTTATATTGCATTGGGATCAACAAGTGCAGAAAGAGTATTTGGTTATTGTGTCTGCTTTTAACTTTATTTTTTATGAAATTTCAAAACCCCAAATTTTTAAGTAACCAGTCCATGTAATAGACAGTTGAAGTACTAGTACCATTATTGTTGATTCCCATAGGCACTTGTGAAAGTGAAGATTATATGGAAAATATAGCTAAGAACCAAAATATTGACACTGTGATATATATAATGTATACAAATGTTTTTGGAAGTAGCAAGAGAACACTTCAAGTATAATTTTTCTATTATTAGCAAAATTATTAGATATCTTTAATTGTATGTAAATTTAAAAGCAACTTTTAGTGTAAGAAGGTTATATAGTCTGTTAAGTACTCATTGTTTTTAATTGATTTTAAAGTTATAATTTTTTTTTTCTTTTTTCTTTTTTTTTCTTCTTCTTTTTCTTTTATGAGGCATCATTATTATCTGATTCAGAAAAGTGCAAAACATTATATGACTATTTATTTGTCCTTAGTAATGATTATTGATCAATGGGTCATAAGTAATTAGATCTTGCAAAATTATAATTAAATACTTTGGGGATGAAGGTTATTTTCTTTTCTTTTTCAATCACTCTATCTATCATTCGCATAATATCAGTATAGTTTTTATTTAGAGCTCGGTAGTGGAATTTTACTAATATATCATCCTTTTTTATCCTTTCTTTTAAAAAATTTTTTACTTTGGATTGGAAATTTATAGTAGGAGAACAAAATTTAGTGTAGTCTATGATCTTTTGCATTTCCAGTAGGTTTAGCTTCAGCTTCAATGGTAGTTGATTAAGTTAACTAAAGAAAAATAAATGCAGTAATATGAAGAGTTCATAAATTCCTCTTTGTTTTTGTTTTTGTTTTGTAGAGCAATATACATAGCCCATATTTGTTTCTTCATTTATCATTAATACCATAAAAGATACTGACAAAGGCGGTTCCTAACTACCTAACATGCAGCCCGTAGGAGCCTGGGCGACATTCCCCTCGTGTCCAACGAGGTGTTGCAAGGTAAAAAGTAAATAAACACATAGCACACTTTGCATGCCTTGACTAATCCAGAGAAACTGCCAGGCTGAATGGGTAATTTTGTAATTTAGAGCATTTTTAAAAGAGCATTTTTTCTTTCTTTCTTTCTTTCTTTCTTTTTTCTTTTTCTTTTTCTTTTCTTTTTTTTTCTTTTTCTTGTTCTTTTCTTTTTCTTTTCTTTTTCTTTTTTTCTTTTTTCCTTTTTCTTTTTTTTTCTTTTTCTTTACTTTTCTTTTTTCTTTCTGTCTGTCTTCTTTCTTTCTTTCTTTCTTTCTTTCTTTCTTTTTTTGGCAACTTAGCTATTTCACACAGGAATTCATTTGTATTGATATCCATTTTTTGTTGTAGAGCCGTGTATGTATAGTTGGTGTGAAATAAGTAAAGTAGCAGATTGATTGGATACTGAGAATCAGTGGATAATTTTAAAGCTTTTTTTTTTCTCTCTCTCTCTTTCTTTCTTTTTTCTCTTTTTTTTCTTTTCTTTTTCTTTTTTCTTATATCTTTTTTTTCTTCATCATCTTTCTTTCTGTCTCTTTTTGATAGCTTGATATATTCTGTATGTGCCAGTGATAAAGAAATGCATTTTTCAGTTTAGTTACCTGATGACAGGATGCCACTGAAACCATATGTGTGTGTGTGTGTGTGTGTGTGTGTGTGTATACTGATACTCATTTATCTATATACACACATATATATATTCACACACACACACACACACACACACACACACACACACACACACACACACACACACACATACACATACGCACATACACACACATATATACATATACATATATATATACACACACACACGCATACATATATATATATATATATATATATATATATATATATATATATATATATATATATATATATATATATATATATATATATATATCACATATATACATACATACATACATACATACATATACATATACACATGTATGCACATGTATATGTATATAAATATAAATGTATATATATGTATATTGGTCATGATAAAAAACAGCTTGAAGAATCCTGATTTAGAATGTCAGTTTTGAAAGCAAAACAATTTAGAATTCTCTCTCTCTGTCTCTCTCTCTGTTATTTCTCATTCATTACTCTTATTAATGTATTTTACCTAAAAGATATGAAAAAGATGAAACAGACAGTTTAAAACTTTCAGTTACTTCCTTTTTCCATGTGAAAACTCTACAGAATGTACATATGATACCTCCTCCTTAAGTTTGTGTGAAAATTTATCATTGGAAGATTTTAAGCTTTCAGTGATCAAAAGATACATATGCAGATATTGCTGAAAGGAAGAGATTAATATTATAATTCTTGGTCTTTGCCATAATGTGTTGTTCTTGCAGGTAGAGGTTTTTCACTCTAACGCTGCTTTTGTTGGCTTGTTGCAAGCATGAGGAAGTATTGCATTTGAGTTTGGTCATATTATTGTTTGTCTACTACCAGTAAGAGATATCTTTGGAAATATTGATGTTTGCTTTGTGAGTGGTGCAGCTTTTTGTAGATAAGATGCATGTGATAAAATCATTTTGTGAAAACATTTAGTATACTTGTAAAACAAACACACATACTCACTCACACTCACTCACACTCACACTCACACTCACTCACTCACTAACTCACACACACACACACACACTCACACACACACACACACACACACACACACACACACACACACACACACACACACACACACACACACACACACACACACACACTCACACATTCACACATTCACACTCACACATTCACACATTCACACCCCCACACGCACACACACACACACACACACACACACACACACACACACACACACACACACACACACACACACACACAACACACACACACACACACACACACACACACACACACACACACACACACACACACACACACACACATATGCACACACACACACATGTACATATGGGCCTTTTTTCTGTTTGGTGTGATTTATGTAGAGAAGTTGGTGTAGTGTCTTTTAACGATATGCAGGTAAAGTGAAGGGAAATGAAGTAAATAAAATCAATCAAAAAAAGTTAACCAGAAAATGTAGATTCAGAAAAATTATAAAAAAAAATGTCAGTTTATTTGCTGGATATCCCAAAGTCACACTCATAGCATGAGGATAGTAAGGTTCTTGCGAGATGTTGCCTATACAATTTCTAAACGATGAATACCAAGAGAACGAAATGCTTGAGACCAATGACTTTGTCTTGGTGGTCTTGTGATGAAAGGTATTATCCTCCAGTAAGCTTTTGCCCTTAGTACTTAACCCAGTGTCACCGGGAAAATGCGAAGCTCACCATAGTATTGTTTTGTGAAATGTAATTACACAGAGGTGGCTCCATGAGTGTTCAACCAACTTGGAGTCAATTAGTAGTCTATGTGCTGTCACTTGTCTTTCCTCTTCCTTGAATTTGTTTTTTCTCTTCTTGTTCTTCGTCTTCTTCTGTTTTTAACCCAATGCCGCCGGGTATGACGTGTACATACATGCTATGCCCACCGTGAGTACTTGTTTGATTGTTTTTACGCATAGATGGCAACACTTGTACTAACTCCCCAATGAGCCAGTTACGAGTACCGTCCGTCTCGCCCATTTACCCTTTTCTTTGATTTACGAAATATTTTACGTTATCTTATTTTGCTGTTACTAATGTTAATAAACATTATTAAAATTATAATGTTTATGATAAAAATAACACCATCGATTTTCATAGCACTAGTGAAAAATACGTTTTTCCCGCCATTTCATATCAGGCGCTACCAAAGCCATCTCTCGGCAGACATTTCACGAAAAACATAGAAAGTTTGCACAACATTTTCCCCATTTTTTGTTATCTGCCAGGAGAATGTAGGCTTCACTGTAGTATAGTTTTATGAAATATCTTTACACATATATGGCTTTACCAGTGCATAAAGGGAACACTTGGTAGACTTTGTGACCTCATCTGATTTCACCTTTCCTTGAGTTTTCTTGATTATTTATTATTTTTGATTTTTTTTTTTTTTTTTTTTTTTTTTTTTTTTTTTTTTTTTTTTTTCATACTAATACTATCAATATTGATGCTGTTATTATTGTTTTAGACATTATAATTATAACAGTGTTATTGACATTGCTATTAACAATATAAGATGAAAATCAAGTAAAAGAATAGGTGGGATAGGTAGTACAAGTAATAGGCTCATTGGTTGCTAAGTACTTGTGGAGCCATGTATGTGGATAGGTAAAAAACTTAACTCACAGTGGGCATGGCATGTACTTGCATGCAGTCTCCAGTGACATCAGGTTAACATGGACATTATGTTTACCATTAACCCATTCATGACAGAATGGCAGACTATCCCTCACACTAGGATGACATTGTCATGTCAAGTTGCTCCACGTTGTGAGTGCTAAACATTTGTGCACTTTCTATCTTTGGTTCTGGCCCTTGAGGAGAAAGTCCTTCAAAAGTAGGCTTAAAGCTAGTTTTCTAGCCTCATTATCTGAAGCATTGTTTATACTGGATCCAAGAGCATTGGGAGCAGGGTAATTTTATTGTTTCTGATTCTTCTAATTTTTCCCTCAAGCAGCTGATTTGACAGGCACTACATGGTTCAATATAGTTACAGTGACTCCTATCATGAGTGGGTTAAAGGACATGCCATCTGCATAGATATATGCAGTTTTTGTGCATCAAGTACATCCTCACCTGAGCATACCTAAATATCGGATAGACGTCCCTTATTGGTTAAGCCTGTATCTTCCAGCAATATATTGTTGTATTTCAGTAACAGAGGTGAAAAAAACATTAGACATGTAGAGGAGGGATGATTGATAGCAATGATTTCATAATATAGATTTAAGATTGAGAGGACCTTGATTTCCATTTACAGAGTGTATATTTGCATATGTAAATATTTCAACAGAAGTTTCACAGGCACACTCACAGAATTCAAAATAAGAACTAGAAATGGCAGTAGCAAAAAAAATTTGTGTGTGTCTTTATATATGTATATTTATACTCTGAACTCAAAATATTCCCCAGACACACCTTTCCTGTTCAAAAATTAATGTTTTTCCTTTTGCTTTAATTGTAGGCGCTTCAGGAGACCCAGAATCAGGTGAGGGCCACCATGTATGGGACAATGAGGAGGAGGGAGTAGCTTACTCCTGGTCATTCTTCCACATCATGTTTGGCCTTGCCACACTCTACGTCATGATGACACTCACCAACTGGTTCACACCCAACTCCGACCTCACCACACTCTCCAGTAACATGGCTGCTGTCTGGGTTAAGGTAAGTTACTTTCCTTGGCATCAGTGTTTGTTAGTGAAATACATGTGACATACTAAATATCAGATATGCAAACCAAAACATTTCACATATGTTATACCAGCAAACAAACACATTCATGCTCTTACCCATTGGCCTCTAGTCTTGCACCAAATGTTCTCAATGAACCAATTTTAGCACTTATATGATATTCCTTTACCAATACAGATTGTATCCAGCTGGATCTGCCTCCTCCTATACGGATGGACCCTGATTGCACCTGCAGTCCTCACTAACAGGGACTTCAGCTAAAAACCACATAGCCCAAGCAATAGAGGGAGAAAGATCCCCATTTTTTGCAAAGCTACTGAAAATTTTAGCTTTGACAACTTTTAGATCTTATGAGATAACAAGTGTCTTTGATGTGAATACTCTGATTAAAGAAAAAAGCCATGGTATTTAATAGGAAGACTAGGTTGTATGTGCATGCATTTCAAAGATATTGTACGTCATTCATTCACTATATTCAAAGGTTATTTGTGTTAATTACAGTTACCAGATGTGGCTTTGTGGTTAGAGATTTGCATAAGACATAGCAGTTAATCAGTTCTCCTTTTTTCTTCTTTTCTTTTACTCTTTGGATTAACATACCTGTTGGTCAGCTTTTTAGATTAAAAGGCAAAGAATATACATAGATACCTAAGTAAGCTATAAATTGTGATGAAAATCATTCCTCTTAATCAAAGCAAGTGGAATTTGTTACCCCCCAACCCCCCAACCCCCGCCCATATGTGATTTGAATTTTGTTTCCACACTTTCACACACACACTAACACATGAATATATTCCTTCCTTCAAATGTTTTAGGGTTGTTTGTTAAAAAACAAAGAAATATGACTTAGTTTTCCTTCTTTATGTCTGCTAGTCAAGTCTTTTCAAGGATTTTTTCCCCATCTTTAACATTAAGCTCAGATAAAACAAGGTCTACACATGTAGGTGGTTATTTGTAAATTCATTATTGTGTAACATTTAAGTGTGTTTGGTCAGTGTAAATGTTTTTAGGGGCTTGTAACTACAATATTTATCCTTGAACTATTATTAGGTATTATTATTATTTTTTTTTTTTGTATTGATTTGTTTTGAGAGTGCAATTTTTAGAATGTATTCATGAAGACTGTTGGTCTGTTATTTTTGTTATCATATGAGATTTATAAAGTTTTTTTTTCATGAATGGTATGAAACTGAAGACAAAGATATATTATTCTGTATTAGGTTAATAAAGCACTTAAGAAATGGAAGGTTACTTTTAATAGCTAAAATTCCTTCACAAAAAATATAGATTCAAATTTGTAAGCAAACTCTAAATTTGCACGGAATTTGTAACTTGCAATGAGGAGTTATTTGTTATGTGATATTCTCCATTTGGAAAGGATTATATATATATACATGCAGAGAGAGAGAGAGTGTGTTTGTGTGTTAGAAAACAACACTTAGAAATAATTACATTTTATATAATTTCCCTACATACTTTATTAACCAATGTCAGGACTCTTGAATTAAAAGCATTATTAGGTATGAGGCCTCCCTCTTTTCTTTATTATTCATTAATGTTTGCAACCCTCGAGATACCAAGTTCATGTTTGTGCAGGATATCAGCAACACTCAAAGGAGAGTTGTTCATGTTGTCTGTCCTTTATTATAGGCTGCCATTATTTTTGCTAGAAGTATATTGGTGTTCTTCCTATTGTCACTAGATTTTTTTTTCCTTTTTTTTTTCTCTCTTTTTTTTTTTAGAATTTTGTGTTCTGTTTTACTCAGATTTAACTCTGAGCAGTTAAGAAGTTGGATACAATTGTTTTAAAGATGTGTTGGTACTTAAAAGATATTGTAAACTGTGATTTCACTTGAATGTATTTCAAAAAGTATATACATATTATGTAATCCCAAATTCTGTGAAACCTGCTAATCACCAAATGTAATTTATTGTGTATCAGTGAACAATAAATATAACCCTGAAATAACATTCTTGACAATGCAAAATATTTAACCTTATGTATTAAAATATTGTTACAAATTATTATAGCCATACCAAGGAATTTTAAAGACTTGAGGATAAACTATCTTACATTTCTTACATTTCAAATAATATAACCTTTTAATGATAATAATAGGGATGCTAATAAGGATGAAATCATAGAAAATGATAGTGAAGATAATGATGTTGACAGAAACAAAAACAACAATAGTGATGATGCATATGATAATAACAAGAATAATAATGATAATGATTGTTATTATTATTATTATATTGATAATGAGGACAATAATGATAAAAATATTACTAACTATAATGATGATAACACTACTAATAATGAAATAATGATGATAACAATAATGATGACAATGATAATAACAATAATAGTAATAATCATGATAATAATAATGTTCATTATAGGTAGAACAACAATACAAACAAAAAGAGGAAATTTACAATAGGAAAAATAGGAATAAGAAGAAGACATCGTTAACGTCGTGAGTTAGGTCAGATTGGAAAAGAGAGCATAAAGAATGAAAGATAATAAACATAATAGTCATAATTTTCAACACAAATGAACAGTTGAACGTCTGACTTACAAATTTCATGAAAGTAATGGCAAATGTAATAGTAATAAAAATTATTTAATAAATAATAATGGCATTAAGGTAACGGTTCTAATGATAATTAGGAGGAGGAGGAATGAAGGTGAATAGGAAGAACAAGAAAAAGGGAAAATGTAAGAATAAAAAGGAGGAGGAAGAGGAGGAAAATGTGCCGGCGCCTTTCTCGGAAACCGCGACTTTAATTAATTTGTTCACACTCACCCACACACACATGTACACGCTTATTACAAATACACAGACCCGCACTCTCTCTCTCTCTCTCTCTCTCTCTCTCTCTCTCTCTCTCTCTCTCTCTCTCTCTCTCTCTCTCTCTCTCTCTCTCTCTCTCTCTCTCTCTCTCTCACACACACACACACACACACACAAACACACACACACACACATACACACACACACACAAAAAAAAACAATAATAATAATAAAAAATAAGATAAAATAAAATATCGAGTCTCGCTTACATAACGTCTGCTGAGACCAGCAAAAGGCATGAACACATCCAGTGGAAACGTTCATTAGGAACCTACAGACTTCGTAAAAAAATGATAAGGAAAAGAAAAAAGTTAAGAATGTATTGACAGCTATGGCACCTTTGTAATTCATTATAAATCACCTTTTGATACTCATTTGATATTCACTTCACATGTGTATTTTAAATGAATGGAGAAACTGAGTTGGAAGGACTTCAGGTAAATCATACAGGATATGTGGATTATTATTTCGTGTTATAAGGAGTGTTATGAATAAAGTTAACCCCGCATCCCGTAATGCTATTATATCAAATGCTAATTAGGTGTAACTCTCTTCGAAGGGGATTAAATAATAATAAAGTTTCGGATGTTATAATGTAACAGATTTCGTGGCCTAAGACTTTTTTATTGTGATAAATCTACGGAAGTCTGCTGCCACTTTTCATTATCCGGCGTCTGTTCGTGAAGCGTTTGTTTTATATTTGCGAGGCTGTGGTCCTGCCCCTCTCCTAGCGTCTAGTAGGAGCCAGCGGAAATAGAAAAGTTTCCCTATACACTTCAACGATGTCAAGAATTCCCAAAAGTAGTAACTTTAATATGACAATATGAATTCGCATCTAACATGGATGACTGAATATGTCTAATTATGCTAGGATATCTATCAATAGATTTATAAGAAAGAAAGAAAAGAAACTAGTAATGTTTAAGCTGGGTTACAGTATATCCATTGCAGACTATAGGAAAAACAAAAAGTCTGAATATACGAGAATATGAGAAGGACGCGTTATGAAAGTCGCCTTGGGTCATATATTACGTGGATCTTCTGCCGTAATATTGGGAGCGTAAGTAAAGCGGGTAGGTCAGACCCTTGTTTGTTTTCCTTTTAATCTCTTCTGTGTAACTTTCAGATGCTTCTGTATTTATTGTTTGTCTGTTAATTTTTAAGAGTAGTACCTATCAATCTGTCAAGTCCTATCTCTTTATGTATGTATGTGTTACTGTCCTATCTTTTGATTTGTTACATGTGGATAGGTATTCATTCTCTCTGTTCTCTGTTCTCTCTCTTTCTCGCTCTCCCTCTCTCCCTCCCTCTCTCTCTCTCTCTCTCTCTCTCTCTCTCTCTCTCTCTCTCTCTCTCTCTCTCTCTCTCTCTCTCTCTCTCTCTCTCTCTCTCTCTCTCTCTGTTGCTCTTTTCTTGAATTATTTTGTGAATTAGTACGCATGTGTCATAGTTACACTTGTTTTGTACTTTTACACATTTAGTTTGTTTATGTGTGGGGTAATGTGGACATGCTTATTTACGTTACCAAGTGCTACTCTTGCAGCAAAGTTCTGTTTTTGTTCTAAATGTGACCTTTGTAAGATGTGCCTTAGATGTTTGAGTAATAATTCATTATACTGCAAACTAGCGTTTCTATAACGGACATCCGAGTTTCAGCAGGGATCTTTTTTTATCTGGCTTAAGTAAATTAGTTTTCCCATTACGTTCCTATGGATGTTATTGACAACAAGGTTCTTAAATGTCTTGAATCTGTCAATGTGTACGCCTAGTTTTTTTTACAGAAGTGCTCGGTCTTATATAGCTGTCTTCAAATTTTATGATGGTATTTACAGGAATTTTGGCGATATTTTGGCGATTACCTATGAAGATACATTGTATTTTATCTGGATTCATCTTGAGGTCATTTGTGTCAAAGTATCATTTTATTAGTGTCAGTGTCTCCTGTGTTTTTATTAGTTCACCTAAGTTGTTTACAGAATTACTGTGGGGAAATTGTTAATGGTTAATGGTTAAAAGCAAAATAAATGTGCTAGACATCTAAGGTCATGTAACACTATAGTAAGTGGTAGTGGGGGGGTAGTTGAGTTAGTGATTAGTTGCCAAAGCTGGGCAAAGGAACTGACGAGTGAATGGGTTATGGTCGGGTAAGGTAAAGTAAAGGGGTTAGATCAAGTGAAAGATATATATGCGTTTGGGGAAGGAAAACAGGTTGTCAAAGCAGAAAGTGTGAGACTCTGTAAGGATGTCTGATAGGTTGGGAGGTCGGTGATGGGAGGATAGGTGGGGGAAAGCAGAGGTATGAGCTGCATCAAAACATAGGCATGACAATAGAATGTGTGGAACTGAAAGAGGGACATTACTTAGGAAACATAGGGGTGGATCACAGTGTGACATCAGATAGGAGTGTGTTAGACGGGTGTGGCCAATGCGTAAGCGGGCGAGAGCCGTCTCCCAACGTCTGTTCCGTTGAAATGGAGATGACCAGGAGGAGATTGATAGTTTTACAGTATGTGATTTATTAGTGCGGAGACTTAACCAGAAAGATTGTCATCGGTTATACAAGGTCTTAAAGTGTGGGTAATAATTTGTGGCTGGGCTGGGATGAGAAACGTGGTTGGTATGATGTGGACATAGCGGCGTAGCGTGCTAGAGTATCTGCCTGTTCATTGCCGGGCATTTCAACATGGCTAGGCACACAGCAAAATTTGATTGTTTTATGACGTGTGAAAAGATAGAACAACCAGTTCTGGATCTTAAAAACAAGGGGGTTAGTCGAGTGTATAGACTTTATGAGAGTTAATGAGTTGTGGGAATCAGTAAAAATTGTGATAGAGGAAGAGGGGAGTGAGTATATGTGTTTTAAGGCAAAAAGGAGTGCATGCAGTTCTGTAGTAAGGACACTGGATTCAAGAGGGAGGGAGTATTTGAAAGTAGGAGTTGGGAAGGTTACAACAAAACCAGCACCGGAGGTGGATTTGGATCCATCAGTGTAAACATGAATACTGGAGGAATGAGTGGAGACATGGTCAAGTAAATGGGTGAGAAGGGTAGCAGGAGGAATATTTGATTTTGGTGGGTCAAGGAAAACAGAGGAGCAAATATGGGGGTAAGGTACAAGCCATGGAAGGATAGAATGGGCAGAGAACGGGAGAGGTCGGAGATGGGGGAAAGGGGAATGGGATAGGAGGGTATCCATGCGAGTGGAGAAAGGAGTAGGTAAACGTGGAGAAGAAGCAAAGGTAGGAAGTAGGGATCGTGGGATAGTTAATTTAGTGAAGGGAATCGAGCATAACATCGGAGAGAGAGAAGGGTACAGCGTCGAGAACGGATGGCACCTAGGGCTAAGCGAAGACCACCGTGATGGATTGTATCAAGATGGGCAAGGAGAGAAGTTGAGGCACAGAAAAAAATATGACATCCATAATCGAGAGTGGAGAAGATCAAGGTAACATGAAGATGAAGCAGAGTTTTGCGATCTGAGCCCCAGGATATATGGGATAGTGTTTGTAAGATTGAGAGACGGCGGCGAGCTTTTTCTTTAATGTAAAGGATATGGTCTCGCCAGGACAGTTTGGAGTCAAAAACAACGGCAAGGAATTTCCCAGAGGAACGGTATGGGAGTGGAGTGCCACATAAGAAGAGTGGAGGTTGCGGACCTACACGTGTGCGAGAGAAAAGGATGGAGAAAGATTTGGAGGTAGAAAAGCGGAAGCCATGGTTTGTGGCCCAGGAAGATACTGATGATATTGCAGACTGAAGAAATTAGTAGAGATTTGGCATGGATGTACCAGAGGCATAGATGGTTAAATAATCAACATATAGTGATGACCGGGCTCCTGGTGGCAGAACTGAGACAATGTCATTAACAGCAAGAAGGAATAAAGTGGTACTGAGCACACTGCCTTGTGGGACGCCTTCGAATTGAGGAAAGAAGGATAATGTGCTAGAGACAATTTTGATCTGGAAAGTGCGTTGAGAGAGGAAAGACTTTATGAAGACACCCATGTTTCCGTGTATGCCAAAAAGGGCAGTTGTCGATGAATATGGTACCGCCATGTAATATAATATGTTTTTTTCTAGGTCAAAGAATATAGCTAGTACGGATTCATGGCA